CAAGCTTATTCTCAACTAAACATACCTGAATGATGTCAGAAGATATTTCTGCAATCAATTTGGCTGTTTGATGAAGAAACTGATGGACTATTTGGTGGATTCTCACTCTCTGGATTGACTTGAATGTCTGTAGGGTGTGGCATTGCTCACTGCCTGTACATTCCCAATTCTATAAATACACCAGACTGCAATGGATCACAGGTCACACAGTTGAACTTGTATTGCCTAGTCAACAGGTATTGTTATTTTGTAAACCCTTTCAAAGGCCCAGTTTCTGGTAAAAATAGATTTACCAAGGGCCTGTTCCAGTCACTGTGTTACACTGAAGCGGAAATGTGAATTTAACACATACATGTATGTAATATGTTGAACTGTAGGCCTATGTACATGTTTGTACATTTGTATGAAATTGATGTAGCGAAGGGAATACATGCAAATGTATGCATGACACCCACTAGAATACAATACAACATATAGAACATAATAAGTTAGTTATTCCTGTCAGTCCCATTTTGAAATCTTTAAACAAAAATACAGCATTGTATGGTATCTTACATACATATTTATTTTCCAATTTGTAAAGCAATTTTCATGATTATTCGCAGACCATAAATAGTGTTTATACTGTTCACAAATGTTTCCAATGCAGAAATCTGATATGAGATCACAATAATAATAATAATGGAGTCTTATATAGCGCATGTATCTACCAACTATTAGGTACTCAAGGCGCTGGAGATATGTCTATTATTAAAGAAAGGTAAATCAAGTTTATGAGAGATATGAGTGATGATTGAGTTAAGTTAAAACAGATTCTCCCAAAGGAGCATTGTTTCTTGGTGTCAGCCTACAAAAATATTCAACTTACTGTGTGCACAGAGTACACATGTCATTTTGCCTCAAATTCAGTTTCCCGGCATATTAACTCGGAAATTGCTATATAGCACTGTTGGGCATTTTTCCAGAGATTGTGTCCATAAAGGGTTTTATGACTCCAAATTGACATTCATTCATTGAGATTTAATTCTGGTGATCCAGCATTCCATACTGATAACATGCATTTTTCAAAGCAGTAGGCCTGAGGAATGTCTCGAAAAGGAGTAAAATATCAGCAGATATTACCTACCATATGCCACCTGACTTGAATAACATGATTTAAAAACACAGTTATTGTTTTTGATTTGGCTGATTATTATGAACTTCACTTCTTGTACATCCTATGAGAATCAACAGAAATAATTTGAAATTCTAGGTATTTTGATAATTTTACTACACCAGTTGTGTTCATATGGCCACCAACGAATCAAATACATTTGAATCATGAAAAATGTTTACACCCCTATTTCTACAAATTTAACCATTCATTAATTATTTGATGTCATAGACTAGGCCAGCATTACACATTTCAGATATTAATTTTTTGGATATTTAATTTTATTCACGTTTGCTCCATGAATGAAGGGGAAACATGATTAGTCAGTCTAAATAACAAATAATGTGAAGACAAAATCATTTTTATTTCTCATCATGAAAATCTGATCAATGACTAGTACATTATAGTTTATAAGGTGATAATATGATTATTTCTTAAAAACAATCAATATGCACTGATGAAGACCATTGTCTGTCACACTGTTTGAAATGGTGAACTCTTCTGAAGGTTCTGAATGAAAAATTGTTTCTGCTAAGAAGATTTATAACCTGTAGGCCTATGTTGTGAAATTATTCAGATTGGCATGTCTTAACTAAAACCTCATAAATCATTGAGATGGTTGTTTTATTTCAATCTCCTGTAAAATGAGAGCAACTATAAATACATCCTGTACACAATAATCAGGCTTTAGAGTATTCTCTTGCTACATTGATAGGCTCTCTATAAACAATATAAACTTCCCTGTCAATGGAGACTGATATCCTGTTGATCGGCCTAGCCACATGTCAAAATTCAATTATCCTTGGATCCCAGTTGTTACTTAGATTATATGAATAAAATTATAAGATTATGACTGACTTCTTATGATGCACATTGCTAAATCTAAGGCAATTCTAAGTTGTTGCTTTATACCAAATTTGACAAAGTTTTTTTATTTTTTTATTTTTTGTATTAAGCTCTGGCAGGAGCTAGCTTCTACATGTCATTTGGTGGTCGGTCGATCTGTCTGTCCCCGAAAAAATTATAAAAATAAGCCCTTAAAGGAATGTACAACATTTGCTTTTGCTGCAATTTTCAGAAATAAATGGATTTGGAGGATTAGTATGTTATATAAAATATTGTTAAACTGACTTGTTTCATGTTTTGGGCTTGTAGATGCTGGAAAAAGCAAGAAAACCTATCATGTTCTTGTAGTCTGGTTCCCTGACCCCACTTAAGATGAAACGAAGCAATTAATACACTTTGGGGAATTGTTAGGTCAGAGAATCAGTCTAGCAGGCTTGTACTCCTTCACAGGTGTGTGATCAATTGCAAAGAAAAGTCAGAATATGAAAAATTAAGAACAGTTAAAAAAAAAAGCCAGTTTTCTCCAACGCCGACCAGCGTTGGAAAAATACAGTTTTTTTTGAAAATGTCAGCCCACCAGGAGCCACGATTTTAAAGGATGCTTTAGACTGTCAGTCCCTAACAATTCAGTAAGGTATTTCGTGGTAATTTGATCATTTCGTTTTTTGATGTTTGCAAATGTTGTATTTTCCCTTTAAGTTTCCTACAAAATATAACCACCAAATTTTACATAGATGAAATTGCAAACAAAACAAATTAAATACTTCAAGAAATTGTTTGTAACAATTTGGAAAGATGTTTATGGTAAGTTTGTAAATGGAGGCAAAATAAGTATGTGGTGTATTTATTACAAATTGCCATCAATCTACCATCCTGGCCAAAACTCGCTGGGCCCCCAACTCCCCGGCCTTCGCTCAATGTTGTCTCTCATTGCGCGGTGTGTGCTCCATCTGCTGGAATGAACAACATTGACAGGGGGAGCGGGGGAGTAGGTGACCCTTGGAGGCTAAGATTATTTCCAAGTGTCCCAACCATTTTGGCCGGGATTGTAGGTATATCTCTGCTCTGGCAGGGATCATTTTGATAGATTTCATGCAAGACTTCCATATAAGACGGCCCGAGCTTATTGTGCACTAGCACTTGTTAATGAAATCAATTACTTTAAAGGAAATATACATCATTTGCTTTTGCTGTAATTTTCAGAAATGGATGGAATTGGGGGGTTGGAAATATATAGCAAATATAGTTACAATGACTTTTTTGAGGTTTTGGGTTCGAAAATGCTATAAAAACCAAAAAAAAAACAATCATTCTCCTGTAGTCTGGTTCCCTGACTCCATTTAAGAAGAAACAGAGCAGTTTACATATATTGGGGAATTGTAAGATCAGGGAACCAGTCTAGCTGGCTTGTACCCGTTCATAGGTGTGTAATCGATTGCAAACAAGTGCGATGGTCAACTGGGGCCAGTATTTGAAAAAAAGCCAGTTTTTTCCAACGCTGATCGGCTGATCAGCGTTGGAAATTGATACAAAAGTACCACTTTTCTTGAAAATGACAGTATACCAGGTGCCATGATTTTACAGGATGCTATACACTGTCATTCACTAACAGTCCAGCAAGGTATTTCAAAATGATTTGGTAGTTTTATTTTTTGATGTTTGCAAATGTTGTATTTTCCCTTTAAGGCAACTAACTTAAATTCTCACTGGATAAGATAGTGGCATCATTTTCTTGGACTAGATTTAAAAAAATATGATTATTCTTTTGTAGAAATTTGATAGCAAACAAAAGAATGATGTTGACAAGCTCTAAGAATACAAATATTCATCCAAATTTGTTTAAACACTGGGTTGCTTCCCAGTGTGTCCTGGAATAATGTCTTTACACATTTTAAGTTAATTGCTACTAAAAGGTTTTCATTTTCACCATTTCAGGTTTTCATCTTCACCACTCAACCCTGCTTGCTTTGATTGGATACCTTGCTGCACAATTTTTTGCATTCAAATCAACAAGAGCTTGACTTGTTTCATTTGTACAAAAGAAATAGTGAGAATTATGTACAAAAACCAGTGATAACGAGTATTTTGAAAAAAAAATCAAAGAAATCTGTAGTTTCAATAATTTTGAAAGAATTACCTGTTTCATGTAATAAAATTAAAGTTTGGATGTATAATAGCAGAAGTTGCCAAGCTTTTAGTTGCATCAAACTAGCTTCAAGTTCCTACCCCTTAGATACACTGGCACACCCAGGATTTGGCTTTTTTGGGGGAGCTCACATTTTTTTTTTATCAAATGTGTTTGGCCACAGAAAAAATTGAGGGTTTTTTTTTGGGGGGGGGCTGACAATTTTTACATTGGTGGCGCCAATTGCACCCCTATTATACTACTCTAAAATAGGCCACATACAGGTCAAATCGTGGGACTTAAAAAAAAAATTGGGCCCCCTCCCCCCCAAAAAATGACAACCTCTGGGGGGCTGTTGGGGCTCAAGCTCCCGAGGCCTTCCCCGTCCCTTGAGTGCACCACTGCTTAGATAGAGTAAGATCATCATTTTTACTTGTTATAAAAACCTGGGGTGTGAATGGTTATAACAAGATTATGGTTAACAAGATGGTTATAACAAGATTATGTACGTACAAGGATTTGCCCTGTCTTCCAAGATTATGGCACACAATTTTATCTAACTCGCAACTAGTCACTTCAGTCTATGTTATGATTACAGTCTGTGCTAAATGGTATTATAGCCAAAAAATGCTTTACAAACCAAGTAATTACCACAGAATCCTTCACTCATCAGCAACTATATAAACACACCACTTGTTTAATGTTTACATTTCCCAATTTCAGTTCTGTTAGTGATGTGAAAGGAGATTTTCAATATTTTGGATAAACTCCCTGAGAATTTGAGTTTGAACAAAGCATGCCGGAGTATCACTATTTCTTGTTACTTTTTCTTAGGAAAGGTTATTTTTCTATTCCCTTGGTGTAATTATTCTGTCCTTAAACTCCGTGATAGACCTGTACAGATTGTCCTGTAGCCACTACCAGATCACCATTTGATGTGAATGTGATGCCACGTGGATAACCACATCCCTTGATCACACATCCAATGTACTTGCCATCAGGACTGTAATGCAGAATATCACCTGTTTGATATCTGCCCACAGCAACATAGATGCTGTCATCACTATCACAGCTCACACCAGTAGGGCAACCCCCCTGCATGTTCCTGGTCATGTCTACTGAGAATAGACTGGCACCATAAAAGCCTACACATACCAATCTTTCCTCAGGCCAATTTGTGTAGATGAGGTGGTGATTATGCATGGTTAGATAATCCTCAATCATTTGAGCAGGCAGTCTCCTGATGAGGGATCCATCTGGGTTGTGTAGAGATATCTCCTTCTCGTCTCTGTAACCCACTGCTATCAGATTACAGTCATCCACTGCAAGGCATGTTGGTTGGCTGTCTGACCCGCTACCTGGTGTGAACTGATGGAGGAGCTGATGTTGCTTGTTGAAGACCTTGACTACTCGACCATCTAGAGCAAGGAGTTTGCCATCCTTCCTCACTGCAATACACCTTACATCATCAGTGAGGTCATTTATTTGTGGGATAGGAGATTGTTCCAGGTTACTATTGGGAATTGAAGCTGTAAATAGTACACCACTGTTTCCAGAATGCTTTTTAGATAGTACAAGTATTTTATTGTTAGAGAGTGCTGCAACATGTGATATATATGTTTGTGTTACTCCAATGTTCGTGGCTTCACTCTTCAGTTCCCATTTCTCCTTCACACTTGATCTTGGAGGTCTTGGCGTTGGCTTTTCTGCAGCCTTTGGTTTTTCCTCCAGAATGAGTCTCCCAAGTGACTTTTCACCTTCTTTAAAATCCATGAAGGTCAACTTGTCAGGAACTTGCTGTGGCTGTTTCCCTGTCAATTCACTGAGGTTATGCAAGAGCTTCTGCTGAAGTTCAAGAATCTCATGGCAACTTGCTTGATTCATGAGTTGGTTCACCTCCTCCAGCTTGTGCTCTGTGTGTGTCACCTCTTTCCTGTTGGTTGCTTGAACAGCTTCAAAGGTTTTTAGTTTGTCTTTATAAATCATGTCTGTCGCTTGCAACAATTTCTGTTCTTCATTTTGGATCTTTGCAATCTCCTTTTTGATCTTTGCAACCTCCTGTTTGAGCTTTGTAATCTCCTGTTGAGCCTTTTTTGAGATTTTCTTTTGAGTGTTGGCAAACATGGTGTCCAGATCTTTGCGAGATTTGCTTGTCTCTTCTATGGTGGTGCTCAATTCTGTTTTTCTTCTCTCACTTTTTTGGACCATTTCTCTGACCTTCTTCTTACATTTCTCTGCAGCCGCAGGTAATCCAATGAGTGAGTGTTTTGCATGATCAAGTACAGAGCAAGTTGTGCATATGACTTGCTCACATGAGTTGCAGTAGACATTGAGATTCTGATCTTGATGCTTGCCACATTTTGGAACTTCATCTCTTAATTTACTCTTGAAGACAATTTGTCCTGATTGAAGTTGAGCCAGTGTGTAGATTTTGTGAGATTTCATGACAGTCATACGTTCATGTGCCTTTTGACATTCTTGACAGAGGAAATGATCACAGTCCATGCATCTTGAAATAGCCTGATTCTCCTCATCACAGGCTTGGCATTTCATCTGTAACCCTTGACCTTCTAGTAGCTTTTCCTGCATTGTAACTTCCTCCAACAGGGCACTGAATGCAAAGTTATTAGGGAGATCAGCAACCCCAGACCCTTTCAACATGGTTTCATGTGTGCACAGAGGACATGTCAGCTTTGTACCACTAGTATCTTGGCTCTGTCTGAGCTCTTGGAGGCACTGCAGGCAAAAACTATGCAAACAGTCCAGCAGTTTGGGCTGCCTGAAACGGTTGGTGCAGATGGAGCATTCTAGATGATCCAAACTAATCTTCTCAAACACTGATTGGGCTGTAACATTAGATGCCATCTCCACTGATTGGTTTGATGTGATAGGGTAGATAGACCTTTAGCCTGCAAATGAAGCACATTATGTAAAAGGTTTTGGAATGTGTGTATAGTTGGAATGTGGGTGGAGTTGAAATGTGGGTGGAGGAACGTAAAGTTGGGGCAACTTCTCTTTCTTGACTTTGCCCTTGAATCCTTTAATCCTAAGTAGATCCAACCCTAGAACATAGACTAATAATTGGTGATCGGAGACACATCAAGAACAGTGGTCATGCCCTTAATTATGCATTCTTCATCATCAAGAGCCTCCTAATCAAGCAATCAACTGTCTAAATCCTAGTCCTGCAATGCCTCAAATACACTTTGAGCCCCATAGGCTAAGTACAACTTCTCTTTGCCATACTACTTCGCATAAACTCAGTTGACCAATCAGATACCAGGAATCTCCAATATGCAAAGTGTGGGTTACTCAAATGTTGATACTCAAAACATACAGTTGGTAACTTTATATTTCCTGTTCTATCACAATGTGTTTGTCAAATTGAGTATTTAGAAATTTGAAAGATTATTCCCCTACTATAAGCATGACTCAAGCCTGGTGTTTATTATATTTTGTTCACAAGAAAAGAGCAATTAGTAGTGTTTACACTAAAGAGCAGTTTTATTCTGAAAAATGCAACATATTTCAGCTGTGACATGTACGTGACATTTTCCACTCGTAAGCTTAGTTCTAGTAATATTTATTACAAGTCAGTGCCACTTTAGGTGGCCAGTAACAGGTTTTCATTGACAAAGAATGTCTGTGACATAGTTAAAGTAGTTTATGATTTGCCCTATCAAAGAATGACTTGTGATTGACTCCACGAGGACATACATGTAGTTACAGCTCGGAATGAAACAGATCGTAACAGACAGGTTACAATAAAACATAAAATAATGTCTTAGGTATTTTAACTGGCCTGTATTTGAAATCATATAGTTGCTGGAAAAAAATTCTTTTTCTTTTAAAGAAAAGGTTTACTATTTTGTTTTAAAAAATCATCATCAAATCACTTTTGATTTTTTTAATCAGTAAAGAAACCCTGTGCCAATCTTAGATTGTTCTTGTAACAGTAAGTTCAAACAATGAGCCACTTATTTCTGTTATGAGTACAATTAGGTTATCCATGTATTACACTGTATGATTCTGTTTTACATTACAGATCCACCTTAATTCCAACACATATGTATGATATTATTTTACATTATAGATCCCCTTAATTTCCAGTATAGAATTGGCAAGTATTTAGTTACATATATTTCATATGAGATTTGTGTAACTTGTGATCTAAACCAACTGTTTACTTTCAATGATTATTAAGATAACACATAAACCAACTTTACCTTATGGATCCATACAATTTGCCACTGCTCTGCCAATTCTGATGTCGCTTACACTAAAACGGCTTATATTCTGGTTGAAATGAACAAAGATGGCGTTCTATGTATACGCCCCTCTGTATCAACACAGACCATGTCACCTGATTTTGAGTTAAGTCATTTGTAGTCCCCAGATTCCACTTCTGTAGTGCTTTGGTACGTGCTCATAGTAATATCAAATGCAGTGTTCTATATCTAATGGATCCAAAGGTGTTGGGCTGGTAATATTTGCAGTACCAGGACCCCAATTCCGATAACGTAGAACTTTGGTACGTGCTCATAGTAAAATCAAATGCAGTGTTTTATCTCAAATGGATCCAAAGGTTCTGGGCTGGTAATATTTGCAGTCCCCAGATTTCACTAATGTAGAGCTTTGGTACATGCTCATAGTAAAATCAAATACAGCATGCTGACTGTGTTTTATATCTAATGGATCCAAGAGTCTAGACCTTGTAATTAGCAAGATTACGGACAGGTTTATCAGAAAGGTAAACCTGAAGAAGCCACAGGTCAATTACCTGATGCAGTTATTCTAAGCTGACTGTTATTGCAGATGACACCTGTTTTAATATCCTTTGATTTGTCTCCAGTCAGGATACTCAAGTCTGTCGTGAAGACAAAAATAAACAAAATAAAAAAAGAGGTACACAATGAACCGACTGTAATTAGTTTTGGAACCTAGTTTTGTTTTGTTGGTTTTTATATTTATCTACATTTTAGTTACTCTGCAGTTGGTGTTTTACAATTTACATGCATGTATAGCATTCAACAGCACTACGCTTGCTTTCACGATAACAACAAACTTGTCATATTTTCAGTTTTTCAGCATCAGCAGTGCTTTAAATTTCCAAAACTCACATTTCTAAAGCTTTCTCTTCTACTAAACTGGGGTTCATTTCATTCGGCACTAATTTTGAATATTCATTCATATTTTTTGCCTTCCCTAGGCTGATTGGTCCATTGCTGAGATGAATGCTGAGATGGGGGAGAGCCACGCCCACCTCTACACATCACAGACTGATGAACAGGTATGTTCAGCAATGATGTGGTTTTGAATCAGTCTATTGTTGCTCAAAAAGGGCGAGGCTTAAAATCATAGCATAAGAAAGGTCCTGTCACATTTTTTCCGTCCTAGTTTCTTGAGGCCCACAAAAAAATCTGTCAAGATACTTGTACTTGAGAAATTGATCATTACAGTGGAGTGCCGCTATAACGAAAATCGCGGGATCTACAGAAATTGTTTGTAATAGCGATCATTCGGAACAGTGATTTGAGGCTGCCAGTGCTACGGTAGGCCTACTCACTTTTCAAAAGATAGCGCCCTTCAGAACTTCACTCTGCATGCCCTGGTAGTTACTGAAAGATGACTTTGAACACGTGCCAACTATTGAATTATGTAATTACACAGTTTTGGGTTTACTACCTACAGGAACGGGTGGCTTTTCCCTTCTATTCCTTGGGGAAATGATAGCCACTTGTCGCTCTTCCATTGATATTTGTGACGGGCTCTACGAAAATGAGTCGCTTCTCGCACAACGTATTCCCACGTACGGGGTGTTCGAAGTTGTGGGGGTGAAAAATATAATAAAAAATCGACTTTCTTATTATGGTTGATTTTGATTGATAAAGTGGAATAAATGAAGGTTTTTGTGAGTCCTATTGTTTCAGTTTGTCCATTGTTTCACTTTTAACGAGCTATAGATTGCTGAAATTCGCCTATCGTGTTTTGCAAAAAAAATTACACCCCTACGTATAATTTTGGTACCGACTGAAAGCTGGGATCTCCCTCTGTCCAAATATGGTTAAAAATGGGGTCAAAGGCCTTATGCTAAACAGTTATGCTCGTAAATATTTGTGTAAACAAACCAAGCTTGTTACTAAGCAAGGCTCGGCTGTGGATCACGTGTGCGAAATGGCTCTGTGTAATTGGACAATACGTTGTCCGTGTCATACTACGCGTGCGCACAAGGCATGTTGACGTGGCCGATTTTTTCGCTGAGTGCAGGCCGTGGTGTGTGTGCGTGTGGGATATGTACATTGTACATGTACATGTACGTGTGCATGCAATTCTTTTGAACGTTTTATCGATCGTTTTGTCTCATGTACTTTCCCTCTTCTTTCGTTGAAATTTCACTATAATAACTCCGTAATAGTTATTCAAAACATGGCAAATCGAGATCGGCAGTTTGCCGAGGCCATAAACGACTTGCAAAGCGCAAATCTTGGTCAGCAGGAGCAACAACTTTTTCAGAGTTTTGTCGCAGAATACTTCGTTTCTCGCGATTCGGACAACACTGCAAAAACAGATACCCTGTGGAGGAATTCAAGGTGATTTGGGGTAAAAGTTTGGCTCAGTGGTATTTCAAGAACTCACAAATTTAAAAATCTTGTAACTTGAAGTTAAGTCTGAGAATTTGCAACTCAAGTCAAACTCAAGTCCGTGTCACAGACTCGGTTCTATATTTCTGCCATACTGGTGTATAGCTAAGTTGTCAATGCGCTGCTGAAGAATGAATATGCAAACGATTAAGTCAGTCAAAGATAACATGATTCGTAATTGAAGTCTGAGCTAGAGAGAGAAAAAGCAATGTAATGTGTGTTGTCTGTCAATTTGTTCACTTTGAAATGTAGGTGCTATATGAAATGTCAGTGGCAGTCAACTGTGAGGAAGCCAAGAAACCTGTCTGCAAAAACAAGAACAGACTCCCCAATGCACTTCCATGTACAGGTAAGTTCATTTTGTAGAAATTACTATACTTTTTAAATAGACCGTTAAGTTAAAAAAGTGGCCTCTTGAGGCAAACACTTGTTAGCACACTCACACTGCATTGTTCTTAATTGTAGGCGGGATGGGTGCTAAGGTAGTCTATGGAATATCCCCGTATGCAGCAAGAGTCCATGATATGCGAGCAGATTCGGCGATTATTGTGCAAAACAAGTCTGCGTCTTGACCTCAAGACCATTCAGCAGGTGCCTTTTATGTCGGGTCTTCGGTAACCTGTTGTCATGTACATCTAATAAAACCTAGGCTCGACATCCATTATGCTTTTACATTGTGAATTGTGTCAGCATTGTCAATTGTGTGAACTGTGTCTCACGTGTGAGACACAGTCTATTTTACAGGTCGTGATCACGGCCTGTAATGATATGTTATTTGATGCGCGAGCGTGACCTTGAATCATCATCACATCATATTTTAAATAACGCGCGTAATGACAATGCCCCCTGGCACGTTCACATCTTGCCCATGTCTCACCCACAGTGAGCGTCTGCGTATGCTAACAGTTTTGAAAGCCAATGTCGGGTTTTATTGGATCTCCATGTTGGTTGTTGTATTACAAAAACATAGCATCAAAATTGACCAATGAAAAGCTTAGTACAGATTTCAGAATGAAATGATGTCATGTCAACTCCAATGTGCTGGCACACGGGGTTAGATATATCAGATGTTGGACCAGAGATGGAGAGGGTGATACAATGGGTGATATTCAGACTAGTGTTAAGGCTTCATTCCTACAAAACCATTTTGTATTTCAATTTATAAAACAAAGAGTGGACTGCAACATTATGCAATTAAAGGGGGTGATACCATCCAAATATTTTATTGGTTCGTAACTAGTTTTAATTGTAAATATGTAAGGGACTGTTGAACCTGATATGATGTTAGAATTCCATATTTCTGTGTACCTTTTAAAGGTGTAACTATGGGGCATGTGTCTCCCCTCCCCCACTCCATTTGAAATCTTGAATTGCACACAACAAATGTACCCATTACCTTCCTTGCCCCCCCCCCCCCTTTAAAAAAAATTGGTGAACCCCCAGCTGCCCCCTAGAAGCTTAACCCTAGTTACGCCGCTGGTACCTTTAGAAAGTTCCAGATCACGTATATTTCACTCCCATAGAATGTGTGATATTTATAAGTTATCTATAGGTGTGGTGGGTACTTGACTGCACCCTCGGCAACCATACGACATCAGTTCTTCCACTTTTAGATGTAAAGTTTAACTGTTTTTACACCTGTAATTTAAAGAAATATTTACTTTAAATATTTTTTTGTATAAGCATGCCCTAAAAATGCTATAGCTAGAAATTAATTTGGGAAAAACAATTCCACGTTGTGATGTTTCCCTTGTAAAGTGGTTGCTAAGGTGCCAACAAGTTTTGATCATTCATGTGTCACTTTTTCGCTTTGGATTTCTAGACATTTTAAGTTTTCACAGGAGAATAAAATACTGAACATTAAACCCCATGAGGCGATCTTTAATATACAAAAGATTTCTTTTTGCTACCTTTTTTTTGTTTTGATAAAAAAGAAAAATTTTCTAAGCTGACTAAGCAGTGTTTGTGTAGAGTTTGGTTTTTTTTGCTCGCAATACGTGGTACTAGACCTCAACAAGCCTGACTAATTTTCTAAGATCATAGTTACATTCTCAATATATTTTGAGAGCATGTTGACAATGTTCCAATGCGGTCAATCAGGAGATTAAAAAATCAAGAGAAAATGTGTTCACAAATCTGATTACTGTATAGATGTACAAATATACATGTATATGTTGGGGAAACCACTGATCAGTGATGTTATGTTTTTTTGGAAAACAAAATGGTCCTAAATGTAAACAAACGACAACGTAGAAAAGACGGATGTTTCATGAAATCATTGTTGCTATGTTCTCAGAAAACGTTTTTAAAAATGTCTTCGACAAAATATACAGTGAATGAACTAACTAGTAATACAGTAACAATGGCTTCCAAATTAAGTGGTCTATAAATGATAAAATACAAAGATATCTTTTTGAGTCGCATCATCGGTGTAAAACAGGCAGCCCTCATTATGTATGCAATAACCCTAGGAGTCACACATGCCCAGTCGAAAATTCTGCTGAAAAGTATGTGAGATGCTGATTGGTAAATAACAGACTTTGGATCTTGGCTGAAGTGCCATTGTTGTCATGGAAGCTGCGTTCTCTTGGAGAGATATTCTGTAATTAAAGCAAATGCTCATTGCTTCATTTAGACTTTTTGGTCTATCAGCATGTAGCAAACCATTACTTATTTAAAGAAGTAAAAGCCTCAATCATTTATGGAATAAACTAAACTATTATTGTAATGATATGGAACCTCTCACAAGTAGGTCATTCTATACATTTAGGGTCCAAAGTCGGACATTTGTTTTGTCCCTGTAACCTCCTAAATTATCATTTGCCAATCAAGTGGCATTAAAAATGACTTCAAACTAATTAATATTTATTGGGTTGGTTATGTGATTCACACAAGCATTCTTGGAGGAAGAGTACACACATAAAGGAGTGCATCTTCTATTACAAAATCGTAGATGCCAGATGTATAGGGACAGGAAAAAAATGAACCCCAAATTCATAGAATGTACACCTTCTATTGCAATATTTTAAAAAAAAATCACATTAAGAAAGGCAAACAAACAAAATTTTAGTACAAAAAAAAGTACATCCATTATATTAACCACATTTACAAACATCCATTTATCATTTCAGTAGAATGTACAAGTTTCCACTTTCAATTTGGTTGTAAATGTAATGAAACTAATATTAATTTGATGAGGCACTCAGAAAGCACTGTGAAAGAGACAACCAAGGGATTGCATATGATTTACTTTTAAACTATCACTTTAGTTCAAAATCGCACACATATTTCATCCAGTTGCTTTTGAGTACATGGAGGTGCAAGATCTTTTTCATTTAAAATAAGTTGCATTTATTTAAACTCAATAATTTTCCCAATAATTTAAAAATCAAATAACAAAATGTAAGGAAATGTTTATATTTTATATACAGGAGTATGATTATATCTTATACTTGGAAAACACATCATGCATTGACTTCGTATTTGCTGAGACAAATCTGAGAAAATTGAATTGCCTCTCGTGGTAATACTTTCCCTCTCATTTGTAATATTTCTAAAATGTGCACTATTTGCAAACAATGTTAAGGGTCATTTTTTCCTCTCATTATTGGAGCACCTGATGTAGTATTTTCAAGTACATGTACATGTAGGCTAAGTACATGTACATGTAGGCTGGGTGTTTAAGTTCAAGATTTTCCAAAGGGGAAGTGGTTAAGGTATTAGAGTCAACACATACAGAGACCAAAGACCTTAGAAATAAACCAAATATACAGTATTGTAGAATGTTATTAGAGGGAGTGTACTTTCAAGTTCTTTTTCAGTGATAACAATATTCAATATCTGATGAAAGTGGTTGATGGATACACTGGATAGCCCCAGTTTATTTAATCCGTCCTTACACTCGGTGATAGACCTCTACAGACTGTCCTGCAGCCACTACCAGATCACCACCTGATGTGAATGTGATGCCACATGGATGACCACATCCCTTGATCACACATCCAATGTACTTGCCATCAGGACTGTAATGCAGAATATCACCTGTTTGATATCTGCCCACAGCAACATAGATGCTGCCATCACTGTCACAGCACACACCAGCAGGGCGCCCATCCTCCTGCATGTTGCTGGTCATGTCTACTGAGAATACACTGGCACCATAGTAGTCTACACATACCAATCTTTGCTTAGGACAGTTTGTGTAGATAAGGCGGTGATTGTGCATTGTTAGATGATATTGAATCAGTGGAGCAGGCAGTCTCCTGATGAGGGATCCATCTGGGTTGTGTAGAGATATCTCATCCTCGCCTTCATGACCCACTGCCATCAGATTGCTGTCATCCACTGCAAGGCTGTATGACCCTCTACCTGGTGTGAACTGATGGAGGAGCTGATGTTGCTTGTTGAAGACCTTGACTACTGGACCATCTAGAACAAGGAGCTTGTCATCCTTGCTCACTGCAATACACCATACATGAGTGAGGCCATTGATTTGTAGCCTTTGTGGGATAGGAGATGGTGTGTGTTGACTATTGGTCAGTGAGACTGTGAATAGTATATTAATTAATGTGGGTAATACTATGTTATTGTCAGAGAGTGCTGACACATGTCGTAGCCGTGCATTTCCTATTTCAAAGTTATTGATTTCAGTCTTCAGTTCCCATTTCTTCTTCACACATGATCTTGCAGGTCTTGGTGATTGCTTTGCTGCAGCCTTTGGTTCTTCCTCCAGAATGAGTCTCCCAAGTGACCTCTCACCTTCTTCAAAGTCCATGAAGGTCAACTTGTCAGGAACTTGCTGTGGCTGTTTCCCTGTCAATTCACTGAGGTTATGCAAGAGCTTCTGCTGAAGTTCAAGAATCTCATAGCAACTTGATTGATTCATGAGTTGTTTCACCTCCTCCAACTTGTGCTCTGTCTTTGTCACCTCTTTGCTGTTATTGGCTTGAGCTGCATCAAATGTTGTTACTCTTTTTTGATAAATCCTGTCAGTCTCTTTTAACAGTTTCTGCTCCTCCTGTCGGATCTTGGCAACCTCTTGGTCAGCTTTCTCTGTGATTTTCTTGTTGGTGTTTGCAAACATGGTATTGAGTTTCTTACGAGATTTGTAAGTCTTCTCAATGCTGTTGTTCAGTTTTGTTTTACTCTTACTAACACTTGCAACAAGTTCTTTAACTTTTTTCAGACATTTCTCAAAAGCCACAGGTAGTCCAATGAGGGAGTGTTTTGCATGGTCAAGTACCGAGCAAGTTGTACATATGACTTGCTGACATGAGTTGCAGTAGACATTGAGATTCTGATCTGGATGCTTGCCACATTTTGGAATGTCTTCTCTTAGTTTACTCTTGT